TTTTTTTTTTTTTTATTTTTAGGCGTCAAGGTTGGCATACAAAGACAAATACTTTCTTGTTTGCCGTATTCTACCGCATACGCTCCTATTGATACGCCGTACTTAGATCCTGCTATGTTTAAATACGATGATATGTTGCTGACATTTATGGATAGGAAGGATTTTCCACCTAACGAAAGATTTAGGTTTCAACGTTTGCTTTTATCTGACGACGACCAAAATTTCCTCTTCATTTTACAGTCTTCAAACTTCAAAAATATAATTCTATCTTTTTTTTTTCGTTTTGATGGAAGCTTTCTTAATACTTTTGCTCATATTTTCATATTAAATTCCAGTCTTCATTCTATGTGGTTTTAAATTTCGAAAGCAAATTTTTTGTTCTATGACTTATTTATTTATGATGCTGTATCGATTGAGGTTCTTCTCGCGAGTGACATCACAGCCGGTGTTTGATATTAAGCTTAGTGGCAAAAGGTCTGTGCAGCTGTTGTTTCACCCCTATGAACCATTTGCGTTTTCTTTCGACAGGTCTATCGGAGAGGGAACAGGCACGTTTCACGTGCCTTATTCTGCATTACAGTCCTCGTAACTGCTCACTGTATTAACTGTTATAAAATAGTGGCTAAAATTATGAGTCGATCTCCGGTGGTTGAAATTCATGTTGCGTTAATTGGTATGAATGGATGTGGAAAATCTGGTAATAATTCCTCTTATGTGTTTGTGCTTTTATTTTTCTATTATTGCTTTTTTATACGCTAATCAAATGTAAAACGGTTTAATTTTTTAATTATTATCTGGCAAATTCGGGGTTTTTGAGCTCTGTTTTTTGTAATTTTGATTCAGTCAAAGCAAATTATCCAGCTATAAAATTCTTCACCTCTTCTTTTCGGTTTAGGAAATTTATATAGGTTTGATTTTTTTTGTTACTTTCTTTATGTTTTCCAAGCTGGTTAACTTTTATTTTGGGGACTTTCTGTTAAGAGAAAAATACTGAAATTTAAAATGCTTTTTATTGTGTGCATAAATTGTTGGGTCTACGAGGATAATGAAATTTTTCAGTTAAGGCTTGTTATTTTGTTGTTGAATAATCGACCCTGAGTGAAAACTTGTACAGTCTTTTGCACTCTATGGTTGACTTGTTCACTGAGATATTGTTTTTACTACTTCTCCAAGCTGTTTTGTACAGCTATACTTATTAGTTCGCATGCTTCAGCTCTTGCTGTCAAATATATTGCTCATCGGTTCATTGGAGAATACGATCCTGAACTTGGTATGCTGTTTTTTAACTGTTACACATGGTTCATGAAGAACTGATCTGACTTTTTTGTATCCTTAGCAAGGCGCAAATAAAAATTTTGCTTAAATATTTAAAATCTCTTTGTAAATTTATTGTTTATCTTTCTTCATAGGATTTTTTAAAACGATCTAGGAAGGAACTTTTTTGTTTTTTGTGTTAGAGAGGATCAGTTTATAGTGCGTTTTCTAACTGCACTCTTTTAAGTTTGAAAATTGATTTTCTATAGGCTGTGATCATGCTGAATTTTCACCACGAGAAGCTTGTTTAAAAAAGTAGTGGTTTTTTAAAACTTTTTTTTATTGAAATGGCATTTGCAAAGTAGCCGGTGTCAGTTGCAAACTCATCACGGAAATATTTTTTATTTTTTTTATGGTTTTATTAATACAAACTTTGCAGAAGACACGTACTGCCGGCAAGACACCGTTGTTTCTCAGCCGCTAATGGTCTGGGTGATGGATACAGTGGATGGATCTGGACGCGACGCAATGAGATATTTGTCTTGGGCTGATATATATATCGTTGTACGTTCGGTTTTTGCTTTTCGCTTAGAAGGAAGAGTAGTTTAAATTTTGAAGAAAGCTGCATTTAAAGGTATATGATGTTACATCACAACTTTCTCTACAATATGCAGAATCTACTCTGCAGCAAATATCTACTCATGAGCATCATCTTTGTGCTCGACAGCATAAGTGCCTGTTGGTTGGTAACAAAGCTGACCTTGAGCGTTACAGGTTTGCTTGCAAATTTACTTCTGATGATGACTGTAAATAATTCTTGAATCAAATGCATTTGTAGGCAGGTTAGTGAGTCTGACGGGGAGAAACTGGCGAAAAGATTTGGTGCTATGTTTGGGGAAGTTTCTGCCGTGGATGAATGCGAACGAGTGGCTACGTTGGTTCGAAAGCCGATTGCCGCTCTTATTGCTGATCGAACCAAGCGCAGAAGTCCATCTCCACGACTGTACTCATCAGATTCAGAAATCGCTTCGTCTGGTATTCATATAAAGAAATCTTCTCTAAGTGACTGTTTACTTCTCTATTTACTAATAGTTCAAGCAATATAATTAAGAGAAAGTTCGTCTATCGCTGGTTTCTTGAGACCTATAGCTCATGATGTTGCTGTTTACTGTTATTTTTCAAATTACTACATGTACTTTTGTTTTCAGCGAGTAAGACAAGTTTTTCTGCATCTTTGAAGAGCGTTGGTCGTTCAGGAACGTTGCGGAGGAGCTCCAAAAGTCCCAAGCCTTTAGATATAAACAAAGTGCCGACTACAAAGAAAACTGGCAATAAACTGCTGAAGTTATTCCATAATTAGTAGTGGCATTAAGGTTTGATGCTGTAAGGTAATTTAAAATACTCACTGAGAAAACGGAACTTGTGAAGTTGGTCTGCTGCAGTCTAAAAAAAATACGGATAATAATAGCTTTCAGTGTGTTTTTTTTCGTAAAAATTGTTCCAGGTTCTGTTGTCTTAGTTGACTAATAACTGGGAACAGTATGAGTTAATTTAATACGTCCGATAATTTTGGATTTCAAAAGACCAGCAGTACTTTTAAGTTTGTGCTGGAAGGGAAATAGTTTTTACTTGTTTATTTCGGTTTCCTCTATGAAGTTTTTTTGCCTTATAACCGGACGTTCAAATTGTTGATGTGATATAAGGTAATTGTTGAATGTTTTTTGTAAAGTCTTTTATTTTTGTACTTCAGCAGCAGCTTGCCGATGTACGATCATTCATTTTCAATGTTCTCATCACATATTGAAGCAGTTTCAATAAAGTTATTTTTCACCTCATACTAAACAAACAAAAATTTACACTTATTGGTACAAGAAAAAAAAAACTTTAGTTAGTTTTGCATTGCAATTTTACTGAAGTAACCGTGCCATAGTTTTTAATTTTCCTTCAAGGATTTCGACCCTAGATTCCAGCCTCATGTAATCCTTCTTTAGTTCCCTATTGTCTTTTTTCAGTTGGGTATTCTGCTGTCGTAGTTGCTCAATCTCCCATTCCAAATCGTCTCGTGCCATATGAGCTGCTCTGAAACTCGTTTATGCAGTTAGTTGGCTATAAGGGAACAAAAAGATCGCTGCAAGGTGCGACGTTTAGTAATTTTGAAAATATTGACAGACGTACTTGCGAGCAAGTTTTTTAGTAGTCTGAACTACAGGAAATTTAAGCTTTTTAGACAGCCAAAAGCATTTTAGTGAAATATTATTCGATGCAGTGCTCAAAAAAATTTGAATTGTGCCGGCCTGGAAGGTGCTGTTGCTTTCTTCTACCCCGTATTATGTTCAATTTCTACGCATTAAACAGTCAATTTTTGTAAAGTGAATAAAGCGTCAGATAAATGAAGCAAATACTTCTCTAGTTTGGATACTGTAGAATCAATCATAAAACTGTCAATCCTTTGGATCTGTTGTATTGCTTTTAGCCTGAAAACGTCGCCAAGTTTTTCTTCCATGATACTTTCCATTTTTGTCTTATAATGCATCTGAGCCTGCCGTGCAAGTTCGGCTACTGGCTTCCAATTTACGAAGAGCTGCAAAGTTATTCACTAATCATTTTATCTTTTCAACATTACCTATACATACTTTATAACTTCCGTTACTGCTACGGAAGGGGTTAATGAATGGAAAGTGGGTACAAATCCCTTCTTTCTCATTTCCTTCTGAAAAGTGAGTATCGGGGCAGTAATTCTGTGAAAATAAAAAAAAAAATTTTGAACTGACATCAAATTCACCGTTCATCATACGTTCAGCTTTTTCTAGTATCACGCAGATTTTGTCTAGGAGCTCACCATACGGGAAACAGCAAACACCTAAACTTCCGCTCAATTAAGGCAATATTTTTCAATTCCAGACGCTAGAATGCTAAAAACAGAATCTGACCAAACGTGCACATGAACAAACTGCTCAATACGATAAAGTACCTTCGTCCATAGCTGGGCGCAGTATGTCGACGGGATTCAAAATATGTACTTGAAGATTAGTTAGGACTGAGAGGGCATCATGAAGATCTCTCTCAACTGGTACGCGTCTTTGACAGTCCGTCAAAAGTTCGTTGGCCTTTTTAACAATGTCATAATAAGCCTGATTTAACGCCTGTCCACATAACTCATCCCAGTGCGGATGTACCAACCGTAACTCGCCAAGCTGCAGTCAAACACTGTCATAGAAGTGGTAGAGTAAAATATGATTTCATAAAATACATCAGCAATTGGTGTTAAATTACCGCTCTTTGTATCTGCAATTCTCAGAACGTGTTTTCGATGTGCCGATTTAGCGTTATCTTAAATATAGTTGAGAAGCTATAATTTTTCTACTCCTTAGTATAGTAATTTGATTGACAGCTTCCATTTCTAGCTTTTGATTAACTTTCACTATTTAGTAGTTCGATCACAAAAACCACGTAGAAAGAAAAAAATATGAAATTCTTACCCTTTATATATATATATATATA